CACTTGGTGTCTGACTATTTGCAATCTGTTGTCTGTTCAGGAACAGTTGTTGGCAAACAAGTGAAGATCTATCTTCTGTGAGAAGCTGGTTTCTGTCTGACTTTCATGAAGTTTTCAAAGATGCTCTTACAAACAATAACAGAAATTTGGTGGGGGTGGGTGGGCGCAGTGCTGGGATTCAAATTGTTTTTACTACCGGTTCTGTTGGCATGGCTTGGTGAGCGTGGCATTGCTTGGTGGGCATTTCTTGGTGGGTGTGACAAGGGAAGAATACTGTTAAATCTCCATTTCCACCCCACTCCCGGGGGAAGGTTACTGCAAAATCCCATTCCCTCCCCACCCCACTAACCTGCTTTCCACCTCTGTTCTCCTGTGCAGGGCAACAAAAGAAGACCCAGCCAATCAGTTGGGACTCAGGAGGCAGAGAATAGATGGGGGCGGGACTAGTCAGAAGTGGTATTTACTGGGTCTTTGAACTACTCAAAATTTCTGCTATCAGTTCTCCAGAACTGGTCAGAACTTGCTGAATATCACCTCTGGGGGAGGGGCAGAGTTCACCTATCCTTAACTTTATTTCCCATAGGTCCCACTTAGTTATGGCACAATCTTGGTGACAATTTATTAACTGTTATTATTCCTAGATCTGTCCAATTTTAAATGAGATCAGTAAAGACTCTGAAAAACTTAATGGATGTATAAATATCTTTGGGATTGGGTATCATCACTAAAGTGATGATTTGAGATAATATGGGATGAATTTGATTGAGCTCTCGTGAAATTAATGTAGTTTTTTAAATAATGCTAAAGAACTTTCTTGCTTTTGTTCTAGTAAGCTAATATGGCTATCACTGAAGGAAATAACAGAAAAATCTTAATCAAAATTTATCAAAGAAAATCAATATTTTCTATATAGCACAGTCAGCATTGATTGTAGAACTGATTAACCCTTAGTTATCTAACAAGATATCTTTTAAAATATGGATTAAATTTTAAAATATGGTTTAGCACAGAAAAATGATTATTAAGATTTATAAGACAAAATAGGCATGCTGAATCAATATCAATCGGCATCTGCTTTGAAAAATATTTCTGTGCTTAAGTAAATCACAGCTGTGACAATATAATGAAGTTTTAAAATGAATGAAACAAATAAACTCTTATTTTTTTTCTATTTTTAAGTTTTAGATGGGGGAGCCTTCTTTCAATTACTAAAACATTTTTAAAGTAAGACATATTTGGTCATACTATTCCATCCTGATTACATTTGTATCATACTACTTTGGGAAAAATGTATTTGTCACACTTTAAGAAATTCTTTCCATTAGAACAACATACATGGTTTATTTTTAAAAGTTCATGCTCCCACTTACTTAATGTAATCATAAATACCACTGGACAACAATTTTTTTTACTTGTTGCTTCCTGCAAAACTTTTGGTCATTATGATAGACCTTTCAACCTAAACACATAGTTCAGGTTGAACTATGTGCATAGTTCAGAATGACAATATCATATAGGAATCTTGAGAATGATAGTTTCAGATTTACAGCATCATATAGGAATCTTGAGAAATAAGAAATTAACTTTTAATGACTCTAATATATTTAATTGCATTATGTTTTGTTTTTACTCAGTGTCTGATGCATCTTGTTGCAGTGTCCAAAAGTAAAGAGCCAGCACTGATGGATTCCAGGTGCTGATACCATTTTTCCATTGTAGCAATGACCCTGTGAAACCTTTCACAAAGTTTCTCACTGAATACACCTAGGTTTTTAGGAAAGAAGTCCAAGTGTGAATACAGAAAATGAATTTTCAGTGACAGGTTGTACTCCATGGTCTTGTATTCTGTAAGAAGTTTGTCAACCAGCTGAATATAGTTTGGTGCTCGGGGGTTGCCAAAAATATTTCAACGACATCCTTTCTCTATGTCATTTCTCCATGACAAATTATCCTTAACTTGTTCTTTCACCAACGGTGCATCAATTGCCACTGTAATTGAATCCATCCACTTTACTTCTGGTCATTCTCCTTTCCCTTTCCTTCCATCATTCCCAGCATTAAGAGGCTTTTCCAAGAAAGCCAAGTCTTTCCATAACAGGCCTGAAGTAGGATAATTTGAGCCTGGTCATCCATCTAAACAGGAACACTGTGTGCCCAAATTTACTATACCTGGGATCAAGCCAAGCATGGTATGTTAAATACATAAATTATGTGCTTTTGAAGTCCAATTTCATGAAAATGAATGCCTTTTGAAAGTGCTCCCAATAAGTCTGAAATAAGAGGCAGTGGGCAGTGATATCAAATAATTATACTGCTCAGAAATCTACAGTCATGTACAGTTCGAAAAGAATTATCCAACCTAGGGATGAAAAATGAGTGCCTACCAGAGTTTTCCTCTGCCCCCTCTTATGTCGTAGAGAATCAAATTATGATTATTTTATCTCTCTCTCTCTCTTATGCTCACTCCTGCACCAAGGCTGAGATATATTCACTATTTATTTTTTCTCCTAAGGTTGCTTTCATATCTTTTACATCTTTATTTCTTAGAGGTCAGACAGAACACGAAACAGACTCATAAGTAACACTAGAAACTCTACCTTATAGATATAGGTTTGGAAGCCTGAGAGCATTTTCAAGCACCTTTCTAATGCTTTCTTTCTGTTTCAGATTTAAATTCTATTTTGCTAACAGCCATTCTATACTTCTTCCAAAGTTATTTCTATTATCTACAGTTTCTCTCTACAATTTTTCCTATATATTCTGTGGTTGGCCAGATCACATGTAGAACATTGTGGTTAATTCTGGGCACCATACCTTTGGAAGGAAATTAATAAATCAGCAAGTATTCAGGGGAGAGAAACCAAGATGATAAGAACCTGTAAAGATAATTTGTGAGGAACAGTTGGAGGCAATGGATATATTTAGACTGGGAAGCAGATGAACTGAAGGTCCTCTAGCCCTGGGGTCTCCAACCTTGGCAACTTTAAGACTTGTGGACTTCAACTTCCAGAATTGCTCAGCCAGCAAAGCTTTTAAAGTTACCAAGGTTGGAGAGCCCTGCTCCAGAATATGGAACAAAAAACTATGGGTTTAAATTGAAAGGAAGTAGCAGGTAATGGATTCTCCTTTACTGAGGAGATACTCTGTAAATACTCTGTATTTACAGAGGCTGGATAACCAACTGTTGAGGATACTGTAGTAGTAGATCCAATACTACCCAAGGGGCTGAATAAGATGTCTTTCAACACTTACATTCTATGATTTTATGAACAATCTAACATTCATTTTCTCTGTTATAATGTTGAACATAGTTTTTATGTTGATAATACAATAAATAGCAACAATCCTTCTGCTGAAATTAAAAGGAAAATAAATTTTATATATTTTATATATTTATATTAAGTTCACAAAATCAGTCTGCCATCCCAAATCCCATTGTCACACCTATTTGTGAAAGACCAACACTCAAACAATGGACCCCTTTAAGGTGTTCACAGATTTTCATCTGTAAAATTCAAACAAAGAAGTTTGATTTTTTTTAAAAAAAGTTAACACTTTATGTAAACAGATCATCACTGGGATCCATTTATTATATTGCACAACATTGCAAATGCCTTGAAAGTGTGTGTCTGTACCTGTGAATCAGTACTGATTCCTTGTGACTAGACCTTGTAGTTTTCTCAACCACATTTTTGGAAGTGGTTTGCCATTGCCTGCTTTCTTAGGCTGGAAGAGAGTAACTGGGCTGAGGTCACTCAGCTGCAGAGGTGGTATTCAGCCAGTTCTGACAGGTTCTAGAGAACCGGTAGCGGAAATTTTGAGGAGTTCGGAGAACTGGTAAATACCACCTCTGGTTGGCCCTGCCATGCCCCCATCTATTCACTGCCTCCCGAGTCCCAGCTGATCAGCTGGGTCTTCTTTTATTGCCCTGCATAGGAGAACGGAACTGGAAAGCAGGTTAGTGGAGTGAGGAGGGAATGGGATTTTGCAGTAACCTTCCCCCAGGAGTGGGGTGGAAATGGGGATTTTACAGTATCCTTCACCTGCCACAATCACCACACCACACCATACCCACCAAGCCATCCCACCTCACCAAGCCATGCCCACAGAACCAGTAGTAAAAAAAAATTGAATACCACCACTCCTCAGCTGGCATCCTGCTTTAAGGCAAGACTAGAACTAAGTCTCCCAGTTTCCAGCCTGGTGCCTCAACCATTGCACAAAATGTGCTAATATTTCAGTATATAATTTCAGCCGCAAACTAATCACAGAAGAAAACGTCTGTAACAAAAATGTGAGTTCTCTGTGAGGAAGCCGGCAGGATAATCAGAGTGACAAGACTGGCAGGAGCAGATGTGAAGCAGATGAGACTGATTTACTTCCAAGCAGAGAAGATCTGTTGTCTCAAGGTAACAGTGACAGACTGAAAGGAAAGCTGGGAAGGCAGGCCTGAGAACAGGAAAAGTCAGAATGCTTATAAAATGATGCCACAGAAACAGTTAACAAGGGAAAATCGACTTCAATTTATTGGCGATCTGCCATAAAAAAGATAACAAAGCAGGATTATTCATCTTTAAGCTTAGGTCTTCATGGCTGCTCTTCACTGGTAACTTATTTTTGAGTAATGCATATGACACATTATAATGAAGATAAATGTAGCACTATCAACAGTTAAGACTAATACAAACAGGTATACATAAAACTAAGGATTTAATTAGGCCATGCTGTTTAACCTAAAATAAATTACCATTCAGTTTCCATTCTTCCTTTTAAAAGATCCTGCAGATACACACGTCCCATTTTCTTTCCATTAATTTTGGGTCCAAATTGACACTACTTACTTTTGTGCAGTTCAATTTTATTTAGGCTTATTTATCATAAAAAAAGGCTGAGCAGGGAATTCCAATACTCATTACAGAGCTTGTATCTTGCATAATGATTTAGAAAATTCAAATCAGTACCTGAAAAAAAAGTAAGAAGAACACAGAAAAGCTACTTACAGTCTCTCTAGGGATCTCAGTCCAATGAAAGAGTTGCTCTTTAGCCATAGGATCTTGTTATTACTCAGAATTCTGAAAAGGAATTAAAAGGATTTTTTTTTGTTAGCAGAACACAGCAGCAATTTTACTCATTAAAAACATGTAATTACAGTAAGTGACAGTTCTGTTAAACACTAATTACAGACTTCTCTGCTCCATTTACATTTCCTCTTAAGCAGCAAATAAAATCATTTGTAAACAATTATCGCTTTAACCTGTTCCTGTTTAATCAACAACATAAAATAATATATGATGCTTTAGTTCATAATGAAATTTAGAATAAAAATTTAACACCTGCAGCTGAGTAACATGCTTAATGAACGCTTTTTTTTTTTTTAGAACACATCAATTGTGGGAACAGTTGTTCATGAAAATAAGTAGCATTAACTCCCCACTGAGATATTTATTACAAGCTCTCTCCACTGTATTAACCATGACATTGTATTGGTTCAACATAGTATTTAATTTCCCAAACCTCCTTCCATAGAATGTGTAGTGTGAATTTTGTAAATCATCAGTAAATGTGGGGTCGGTGCCCTCTAACCTTGCTTGTTTTCTTGCAGATGTTTCACTACCAGACTAGGCAACATCCTCTGTGCTTGATGATGTCACCTAATTTGGTAAGGAAATGTCTACAAGAAAATAGTCAAGCTCAGAGAGCATCAAGGGTCCCATAGTTCAACCCTGAGCTATAAATATTCTCCTCTGTCTAGTTCTGCAAATGATTGTCCACTAAGGCTTTCTCTTCCTCCATCACCACTTCCTCTTCCTTCACAGTCACGAGTGACAATACAACTTATGTGTCAAACAAACTGATTTAGAACAAAATAGGCCCTATTGCTTAAGCAATTCTGAGGAACAATTAACTTTATTCAAATACTGGTGTAATCTATGTTTTGCTTTTCTCCTTCACATGTGATACACTTGAATTTCCTTCTTTCCTTCCCTCCACTTATTTTGATGGGATAAAATTTCTGCATCTTGGAGGCTCATTCGCTATGTCAATAAATAGAAACATTATGTTTCTATGAAAAACATATGTATCAGCATACTCTTATTAAATTCTGATTATTTGCATTTCCAACAATGAAAATGAAAACTTTCTCTCTTTTAATAGAATGATAGACTAAGTAGTTTGAAAACCTACTGAGAAAATGAGCACATACTGTTGTAAAGAACTACCTGGACCAGCGGTGGGATTCAATTTTTTTTTAATTACTGCTTCTGTGGGCGTGGCTTGGTGGGCGTGGCAGGGAAAGGATAAAATCTCCTGTCAGAGGTGATATTTGTCGGTTCTCTGAACTACTCAAAATTTCTACTACCGGTTCTCCAGAACTGGTCAGAACCTGCTGAATACCATCTCTGACCTAGACACAGTCTCACTGCCTATTATATGTCCTTTAACATGGCCCACGTAATTTGGTTAGAGGTTTGAAACAGTTCTTAGATTTCAGGCACTTAACTTGAGGGGGAAAAAAGGAATTCCTTGAATCAAAGTTAGGGATAGAGATAATGAAGCTGCACAGGAAAAAACTTCAACAAGGCCTTAAGCAGATGTATACACTGAATTGGCATTTGTCTTTTCTTGCTGGATAATAGACATTTAAAAAAAACCTATCCAGCTGGCAGGAAGTGCTGTTGATGGAGCCATTTTAGCAATTTACATTTCTTAAGGTAAGGCTTGGCAGTCTTTTGGGTACAAAACATAGGCCAAGTACTCTAGCAAGATTTCTTTCTTTGTGACTCTCCCTTCCAAATGCACATGCAAGTAATCTTCTTTTAATGACTGCCTTATTTTAGCAATCACACTTATGACAGTGATGAAAAACTAACCTTGCAATCAACTCTCATATTTACAATTTTTAAAGATTTTTAAAATAAAAAGAAAGCTGAAGATGTAAAATTGTGATGTTCCACTTAGCAATTACTTTGCTTAATAACTGAGTTGCTGATCGCAATCATGGTCATTAAATTAGGACCATCTGTACACTTTCTCTTCCTCACACCATTAACATCCACACATTTATTTATTCATTTGATTTGTCAATCGCTTACAAGATAATAGGCATAAGTATAAACATGAGTAAGAATACAGGAAATAGGTACGAATAAATGGGGACAATAGGACAGGGATGGTAGACACGATGGTACATTCATATACGCTCCTTACAGACATCTTAGGAATGGGTGAGGTCAATAGTGAATAGTTCGAGGTTAAAGTTTTGGGAGTTTGAGGATGTAATAACAGAGTCAGGTAATGCATTCCAGGCATTGACCACTCTGTTGCTGAAGTCGTACTTTCTGCAATCAAGTTTGGAGCGGTTAACATTGAGTTTGTATCTGTGGTGTGCTCTTGTATTGTTGCGGTTGAAGCTGAAGTAGTCATTGATTGGTAGGACATCGTAGCAGATACTTTTGTGTACTACGCTCAAGTCCAACCGTAGGCAGCATAGTTCAAGTTTGTCCAAGCCCAACATTTCAAGCCTGGTGATATGGGGTATTATGTTGCGAGCAGAGGAGTGTAGTACTCTTCTCGTGAAATGCTTCTGGGCTCGCTTAATTGTATGTCTGATATACAGTGTGGATTCCAGACAGATGAGCTGTATTCGAGTATTGGTCTAGCAAAGGTTTTGTATGCCCTAGTTAGCATACTTCCTCTATTCACAAACATACATAATCCTCTCTATATACACTACTCTCTTTCTCTCACACATTCACACATACATAGACACAAAGTAATACATAACAAAACAAATAGCCAAGGGGAAGTCAATTGGAATGCTGCTTTTTACGCTTTTGAACACAATTTAGAAGAGCTGCCAACTTCAGGGAAAAACTGAAGTCAGCTCCAGGGTCGCAGGCAGCTAATACAATGACTCAATGCTGGGATCCCAAAACATACAGTTCTATCATTGCGAAAAAATATGCAGAATCACATTACTATAGAATTGGAGTGGGGCATTTATGCCATTAAGTCCAACTCCTGCTCTGAAAAAACTGTAGAAAGAATTCCGTAAATCGTATTAAATTTAAGCTAGTTATATGAAAGGACTTGCTGCCTTCTATCTTTAGATACATTCTCAAGGTATCCTCAATTATTTTGAGGCAAAGAGAATTTTCACTGTGCTCTATGTAAATAAAAAAAATCTTTTATTTTTTTTCAATTAGACAATTTGCAGCTTTTATTTTGGACGACTGGAATAGTAGATATATTTGAACATGGGGGTTAGATATTTCGCTGAGATATATTATACTTATGAAATAATTGCAATTCCTATAATCCTGATTTGTTCCCTTATTTTTGGAAATCCCATAGTCTGAGGAAGGAAGGAAGGAAGGAAGGAAGGAAGGAAGGAAGGAAGGAACGAAGGAAGGAACGAAGGAGAGAGGGAGGGAGGAAGGATTGAGCTTGATCCTGATATACTAACTACCTGGCCACAAATTGTTAGAATTCTTTCAGTTAAGATAAAAGCCCATCTGTAATGCCAGATGTCTCATCAGATATCAAATCTCTTTAAATTAAAATAAAACTGTTTTACTTTTTTCTTACAGAGCAGATGAAAATAGTTTTTAGGCCTCTGTAACTGAAAACACACATTGATTTCTATGCTCATTTTCCATTTTAATAGGGTCAGCTCCTTCTGTCTAGATGATTTTGCCTATGAGTGCCAGACAAAACCTAGAAGCACTAAAGAAAAACGTAAATGCAGAAAATTTTTAGTCCCTAACTGAATTCGATTCTGGCTCACCAAGGACACTGCATATTGATTCAAACTGAAAAATTAATTCACATTTTTAGCAACAAAACAATATTAGGTATAAATAAATCAAAGCATCATACTGAAATATTTTTTAAAAAATTGACAGTACTTCTGTATCTTAAATTTGATTAAATATTACAAAGATTCAATACCAAGTATCAGATTCTCCATCTTTTATGAAAAAGATGTAACAAGAACTCTGAGTGAGCAGCAATATATTAGAGATAAAATAGTTTTAGGTAGGCCATTAAAATTTTGAAATGTGCCCTTTCCCGCAGATTCAACATTACTGAATGACCACAGTGCCTTCATTTCGCATACTATTATTATTCATTATAAAACTAGGACGCATGGGAAGCATACACTTTATATTATAACATATGAGATAGTATTCGGGCGCACAGGCAAGAAAAATTAAAATATGGAGAATGTACTTCAGTTGCCTCCAGTATATGCAATAAAAGATTGAGACTATTACAAAGGATATAATGTAATAAGACGTTCTATATGTAGAATAGATTTGGTATTACTGAGAGTAGATCTTGGAAAGAATGGACATGGAAGAAAAGGAAATATATGGAACAAACAAACTAGAGTGAAATCAGAACTGCAGGAAGATAAAAAAAAAATATTGCATGAAAAATACGAGTGTAGGTTTACCTAGGTTGAACAGAATAAAAAAAGAATAGAAAACCGGGGGAAAGGAAGGAAGAAAAATTACATCCAGTGAATGGTAGTCATTTGTCAGCAAGTAGAATTGAAAAACATAAGTTCATGCCAACGTTTTAATGAAACAGAACTCACAAATGCTGAAAAATGATAAAGTGGCAGGCATGGAAGATAAAGTTTAAGTTATTTTAAAATGCTGCATGGTTTGCTTATAAAGAGGCTTTGTGATTTGTTTAGCATGTATGAAGAAGGCTTCTGTGCTCGTGAATAGGAAGAATGTCATATTTTTCCACTATGCCAATGGAAAGCAAAAATGAAAACTATTATTGCAAGTTTGTTAAATGTGCCTGAGAGGTGTTTGGCAGAGTTCAGATTCAAAGGTTACAAGAGATGCAAACAAGTAACATTTGAGAAATGAAGTGTGGCTTTATGCCAAGCAGAAGATGCAAACGTGGTTTTGCTTCTTCAGCAAGAAAAATACATGAATCAACGTAAGGAATATATTTCTTCTCTCTTCGTGAATGCCATCAAGAGGAACCACAGAGTCAGGCCTTCTCCATTGCTGCCTCATTTCTATAGAACAAGCATCCTCCCTGAAATTTG